ATATTTTATTTGATCTTCCAAGAATCCTATGGGGTTTACCCCTATTTTCCAAATAAGGAACCTGGTGCTAAGAAGCTAAGTGGCCTGAGGTCACTAACTGAACTACTGACAAGTGGAGAAGACAAGATACAAACACAGGCAGTAGTGCATGAGAGGTGGTGACACACTCTAAGGTGACCTCCAGTGAGTCATGTCCTTGTATAATCCTATCCTCTTGAGCTTGGGCAGAAACTATGACTTGCTTCTTATCAGTAGATTATGGCAAAGGTGACAGATGTCACTCCCATGATCATGTAACCTTATATAAAACTCTGGCGGAGCCAGTTGGAACAAGAGAGAGTCTCCTGATGGCCTTAAAGAAGCACACAGTCTTGTCGTGAACTGCTTACGGAGAGAGGTACATGGCAAAGATTGTGAGTGGCCTCCAGGACAGGAGGGCCAGCTCTAGCCACAGCCAGCAAGAAGCTGGGGCGGGAGGAGGTGGCTCTCACTCATTCAGCCACAAGGAAGTGAATTCTGCCAATAACCTGCATGAGGTGGGGAGACAATTATTTCCTAGTTGAGCCTCTAGATAAGAATGTGGCTTGACTGACACCTTGATTGCAGTCTTGTGAGACCCCTGAGCAGAGGACCCAGCAAAGCCACACCCAGATTCCTAACCTGCAGAAACTGTGAGATAGGGAAGGAGTGGCAGTCAATGGACGCTGCCAGGGGAGGTAGGGAGGGGGCACATAGTATCACAGAGGGTACCTGATCCTAAATCAGGAGAAGTGAGGAACAGTGGGAGGTTCAAACTTCACCCGCATGCAGCCTGCTTGTGTAGCTAATCCTGGCTTGCACCCCACACATCTATAATAAAAAAGAGAAGAAACTGTGAGATAATAAACATGTGCTGATTTGACTCACTAAGTTTGTGGTGATTTGCTATGCAGCACGAACAACGAATACACAGATAATGCATTTGGCCTTGCCCCACCCACCTTTGTAGCATATTCCTGTGCTCCACAAGTGGGTCTGCTTCCAGAGTTTACCTTTGTCTTGTAGAGGAGTTCCAGCTTTATTTCTTGGAAAAGGACCAGAGCAAGGGAATCCGGGGCTCCTTTCTGAACAGGAGATAGAGAAGCAGGGAGCCCACGCACAATCAACTCTTCCTTTGAAAGACGAATCAGCAAGAAGCATGTGGAACCCTTCTGCCTTGTGACATTTCTAGGCAAATGATACTTTGGATTAGGGTTAAACCTATCCTCCGGGCATTGGTCCCAGCAGAAATGGACCCTAATGAGTTAATGCAGTGGGAAGAGGAGTCTTTTGAGATCTGAATCTAGACTTATATAATTATGGTGTTTCATTGAGTTAGTACTGGGCTTCTAGGGCACATTTCACCTTGACTTTGACTGCTGGAACTTAAAGTGTGGTCCACGAGCCACATGCAGCTGGGTGGCACTGCATCTTTTCGATTTTCTCTCTTTAGATTTCTTTTCTTTTTCGAGTTGGAGTCTCACTCTGTCTCCCAAGCCGGAGTGCAGTGGCATGATCATGCTCACCGCAGCCTCAACCTCTGGTCTCAAGCAATCTTTCTGCTCCAATCTCCTGAGTAGCTGGGACTACAGACATGTTACTACTGCACCCAGCTATTTATTTATTTATTTATGTAGAGGCAAGGTCTTGCTGTAGTGCCTAGGCTGGCCTCCAACTCCTGGGCTCAAGCAATCCTCCTGCCTCAGCCTCCCAAAGTGCCGGGATTATAGGTGTGAGCCACCATGCCCAGCCAGATACTTTCAACTTATTGACTTTATTGAGCATGGCAGTAAAAAGTCAGTACCACAGGATGGGTCTGCCTGCATAATTCTTCCAAAAATAAAATGTAGTCCTATGTTTGGGGACTAATAAAAGTGGAAGTTTCCCCTTTCTTGTTGATCGCATGTGTGTGCAGTCAGGCCGGTGCAGAGCTTCATCTAACAAGGATGGCTGTATGAAGCCATTTTAAAAGGTGTGTCCAGTGTCTGCCCTAGTAACCTAGGACACTGGGCCCCTTTACTAGTTGCCACAGGAGGCTGAAAGCCGTGCAAAGGCTTGTCCAGGGTGGACCTTGCATGGCGCTGTCCCAGTGCTTTCCAAAGAGGAGCAGGGAACACCCACAGCCTGAATATCAAAGCAAAGGCTCATGCATGGGGGACTGGGGAGTTGGCCTGCCCAGCCTCGGGGTGGCGATTGTGTTTCCCAGCAAGCTGCCTCAAGAAGTGAGAACAGTTACTGATTCTTCTCTTCGTAGGATCCACAGGGCATACAGGCCTTGCTTCTCTGGGTACCTGGAAGGGACAAAACACTGACCTGTTCAAAAATGTCTCTTGAGGAGATGACAACTGGACAAAGCTATCATCCCTGCCTAACTCCGGTCTATATGCATTCCTAAGCCAGGATTTTTGGGGATATGGAAAATCGACTGTAAATGAGGCTTTAAGAGAAATGGAAGAGGACTTTCTCTTCCCGGGAGGCAGGAGATCAGCATCAGATAGCCTATGGGGAGCGGCAAACCCCCAACACCTCTGGAGAGGGTGTGGCCCTCAGAAATCAGAGGATCCCTGGGCTACAGTCTGCACAGGATGGCCAAGTGGCCAGACAGGAGCTGGATGGGTGGGGTGGGTCCTGGGGTCTTCCTAGGAGGATAGATCAGAACCAACAGAGTTTGTGTCAAGTGATATAGAGGCAAGCATGTACTTTAGCCGAAAATTAATAAGCACATTTAAGAAGACCCAGGAGAAGCACAAAACAAAAGGTATGTGCAGATGTGCAAAATTCAGAGCGTATCATTCACACCCCTGTCTGTGAAGGATACTCAAGAAAGACTGACAAAACAACAAATGAATCCACTGGGGGCCTTGGGGAATAGGAAGATGGAGTGACTCCCCCATCTTGCTAGCTCTAACAAGAAAGGTGCGATCTCGCTCGTGTTATGTGTCCCTTATGAACAGAGCAGCCCATTCCACAACCGTTTCGCTTGGGACTTATTTGGTGTAAAAGTCTATAAATGTGTTTTTATTGCTTTCATTTTATGTTGTTGCTTTTTTCATTGTTTCCTTTTTTTCAGTTTCCTTACTCCGACCGGTTGGATCAAGTTCCTATTCATTGTGCTCAGCTGAAGAAGTCTATGGCTCTTTCCATTTAACCAAGACCCCCACTTTCTTTCCATTCATAAAAGGACACTCAATTCTCTACTATTATTTAAAAATAGCATGCCAGCTAAGGATGATAGAACAGAAAGACAGGTGTGGGTCTCCGGTGACCCAGGAGCTTTTATGTGAGCCCAAGATTGCTCATTTTGGGGCTTATTTTACAAAAGAGGAACAGCATCCACATTTACCTTTTAGCATTTAGAGTTTTCTATTGCATGCATCAATGACAGATTATATTGTTCAAAACATGTCCTGTCTCTTCCGGTGTGGGAAGATTACGTATTCCTGCTTTGTGGAGGACAGACTTACATATGACTGGCTTGAGCCAATGAAAACTTAGCAGGGGTGGCCTCTGCCATTTCTAAGCAGAAGCTTTCAGAGCTACTGTGTCATCTCACCATTTTCTCTTCTTATGCCAAGAGCCCGGCAATACCCAAGTGGGAGACATGCTGGCAGCCCAGGTCCCATAGTGAATGGCACATGGAGCAAAATGTTAGCCACCCCACAGGAGACCAGTTATGTGAGCAAGAATGAAATGTTGTAAGCCCCTGATTTTTGGAGTCATTTGTTAACACACATAAAACAATAGTCACACAGAATCCTAGTTTCTGGCGTTGCTACCTACAGTGCATTTTACTTAACAATGCATTATGCAATCTAATATTCAATCACCACTCTAGACTTAACCCTATTTTCTGAGGAATTGATTGGGTCATTGATTGGGTCACATAGAAAGACTGGGTCACCTTCACAGAACCATATAGGCAGTGAGGAGAGCAGCCAGATTTCAAACTCAGAACATGAAAACCCTCACTCCTTTGACTGCAAGGAGCTGCCATAGGGCACATGGTAACAGCTTCCCTGGCACCACAACAGAAATGCGCGAGGGACTGGGGCTTTTGCTTAGAGTTTTCTCATCCAATTTCATTTTTAGTTAGAGTGGCACATGGTTACTAGGTTTCTGACTGTTATCCTGATGCATTTCTGACTGATGCATCATGTAATAAAGGATCCTCCAGCCCAGTGATTAAAGAAAAACACGTAACTCTCCATGCCCAACTCCCACTGACAAACTGGGCCTAAAAATGTTCAGTATAAGCATTCCATTCCCTTGGAAATAGAGGCCTGAATAATCAATTTCCTGAATTTGGGGGAGGTTATCCTCAGTTTCACCTTTTGCGGTAATTCTGGGCTTCTAGCTAGATTCAAATCTCAGGGGTGTGTACTGAGCAGAAAAGGGCCCCCATTATCTGGGAGTCTGGATCTCGATGACTGTCTCTGCTTTACACTTTGAGTTTGGCAGAATGGTCACCTTCCTCAGGAAACTCGGGTGGTCCCCAGCTGTATCACTGAGAGAGAGCAACACTTTTCAAAGACTCCTCCTCTCATGAGGGGAAAATAATCATTCCAGAACTCCACACCAATATAAACCTAACTATTCAGGGCCCTCTTACAGATTTTTAAACAGGGGACTTTAAGGGGGAAAAGAGAGGAGACGGGAAATAAGACAGAAGACAGAAGAAAGGGACTCTTGGATTCTGGACAAATCTGGACATAAACAAGAAAATGGTGCACACATCAGTTGATGGTAGGGGTTGGGAGAAACAGTGAAAATCACTGAATGTTTTATAGACTTAACTTTTCATTGTAATCTTGACATTTTTCCTACCTGAGCTTTTATGCAAGGAGAGTTTTGGATCTTCAGGCTATAATTTATGTAATATTTAAATAATGGAAAAGTATTGGTTTGAACCAAAGCAACAGATTCGCTCCACTTCTCAAAAAGCTAATTTATTGCCTCCTGCTCCTCTTGGAAGTTCACTTTACTTTTTTATTTTTTAACAAGTGTGATCAATTTATTAAAATACTTGACTTAAGCGTCAGCAACGGTGACTTCAACCTCAACTCCCGGCTCAATACTGATGGAAGTAATCTGCTTGACAATCTCAGAAGGACTGTGCAAGTCGATGAGTCGCTTGTGGATTCTCATCTGGAAGTAATCTCATGTCTTGGAACATTCACCACAAGGAGTTTTTCTTGTAGTGATTCTCAAGTCTTGGTAGGCATGAGAACCAATCCTTTCACTTTGAGATTCTTTCCCTTCGCACCTCTGATCAGGTCAGCACACACTTACTCTAGAGATTTCATGTTGCAACTGGTGAGGGTAATCCTAATTCAGTGGATCACCACCTCTGGCTCCATGGATGTCTTGCTGATGTCTTTAAAAGCCATGGCTGCGGTGTGGCTTCCTGACCAACTTGTTCCTCAGCGAGAGCCAACAGCAGTGAGTCAGGAGCAGGAGAGGGAGGACGATAGCTCCGAAGTACCCACATCTGTGCCACTTTATTTTTTTATTTGGGAAAGAAGGTGTGTGTGTATGTGTGTGTGTATGTGTGTGTGTGTGTGTGTGTGTGTGTGTGTGTGTGTGTGTGTGTGTGTGTATGAATATCTCGCTTTCCCTCTCTCTCTATATATATAGAGAGAGAGATAGAGAGAGATTCAGGGTCTCACTATGCTGCCCAGGCTCAAATAAATTCCTGTCGTCAAGGGATTCTTCTGCCTTGGACTGCCAAAGTTCTGGGGTTACAGGAAGTTTACTCTAAAAGAGGGAGTGTGGAGCTTTCTGACCAAGTTGCTTTCCAACTTTATGCCCTTTCTGAGTGGTACAAGACAGGGACCACCATACCCCAACCTGGACAAAGGCCTAGCACAAAGAACAGAGAGAAAAACACGGTGGACTAGAATAGATAGAATAAGAGTGTACCAAGAATGGGCTGCTAAAGCCCCTAGAGGTGATGGATATATTGGTGCATGTAAGTTTCTATCTGGATGGTAGACAAGTGTAAACTAACCTGCCCATGGGAAAGTTGGATGCCATAGACTGGTGGGGTAGCAGTCTTTGAACTTGGATCAGGATTTCTCCGATCGCTTGAAAAGTTGATGGTAAGTGGTGTCTGGAGTCTTGACACCAATATGGATCATAGGGTCCTAAAAGAGTGATATTGTTTTCATCTGAATAGCACCTGACCCTGAACTCCATCATTTATCTCTTTACATTCAGCCTTTGATCCTAAGTAGGTATCCAGAATGGCATTCACTGGCACTAAGTGCTGATCCAGGTAGAGTCATGGATTTCCTTAGACTTGTGGACTTCATAAACTCATAAGAAACCCCCTGAAACAGAGGATAGGATGTTTCCAGCTCCCTTGTGTCTAAGGCACTTTCCCTCCTAGTAAGGATGGGTTGTTAAGAGGCTCAAGACACCTCTGTAACTAATGATGTATCAGTTAGCTACTGTTGTGCATCAAACCACCCCAAAACTTAATGGAATAATCAAAGCAACCACTGATTATTCCTCACAAATTTATGGAACACCTGTGGTTCTTCTGAGCTGAACTAGACTAGACCATTCATGGCCTACTTGCTCTTGCCTTGCTTGCCAGTTGGTGGGTGGACCAGGGCTGGCTGGCCTCAGATGGCTTCCCTCCTATGTTTGGTGATCAGCTGACTTTTGGCTGCAGTGATGGGAGTGACTGAGTCGTGCATCTCCCATCATCCAACAAGCTAGCCCAGGCTTGGTGGTAGCAGGGTTCCTAGAGAATGAGTAGAAGTATGAGGCTTGGGCTCAGAACTGGCTCAGTACCACTTTTACTACATTCCATCAACAAAAGCAAGTCACAAGGGCAACATGGATTCAAGGACTGGGGAAGTAAACTTCTTCTCTTGGTGGGAGGATCTGCAAAATTACATGATCAACGCCATGGATAAGGGAGGTGTGACACATTAGGGCTGTATTTGTAACCAGCCTACACAAGTGGGCTGGCTGCATTTGCAAGATGGCTAACCCAGGCCACAAGTACAAGGTGCGACTTGAAACTAGGCCTTCTTTTTATGAAATGAGTATACCATAGAGGAATCAGACACAGCCCTAACTTCAATGAGATTGTGTCCCTAAGCCACCAGCTGTAGGGCCAATGGGTTTCTCACATGCAAAATATTACCTAGGATTTCTTCTTTCAGTATCTTTGTGAGTGCCTCTTGAATTTTACAGAAAGGGAGAACACAAAATGAGGGTTTGCTTGTTTTTTCTTTTTTTGCATATATTTCTTTTTGAAACAAGGTTTAAACTAACTAAAATTCTTTTTTGGAAACACCTGCTTGCAGTATTTTTTCCTCTGAAGTTTCATAGGTTCCTGCTGACTTCCTAAGGCACTGCACACATGGAAGAAGTAGGAGGAGAAACTAAGCTTTGTGGTTTAAGGGCTATAAATCAAACTTTGTAAATCTAGGGCACAAATGTGACCTACTAAGAACAGTAATGAACCATGGTGCCCCATCCACAGTTATTGAGATCAAGGGTCTAAAGAATTCAACTTGGATGTATGAGTTGGTATTGAATCATGACCTTGAATATCTCTTGAGCTACCTGCAAAGACCTGCGGTGTCTCCATCTCAGAGAGAAAAGGAGCAGCATTAGTGGGGTGTCCAGAGTCCCTTGTCACCCCACCCTATCCCTTGGTGATACAATAGAAAAATGAAAAGTTGCTTCTCACTGAAAAGTCAATGTGGCAGACATTGCTTGCTGTCTACCCAATAGCTCTTCCACACTACCTTCACACTTTGCTTTTTTCCATGCCAACAGAAACCTAATTTGGTTTGAGTACAGGTATCAATGTGTTTTGTTCAAGTAGAACACTGCACAGCCCCAGACAATGAACTATGATTGGTCCGACCTAACCACTGTACTCCCTTTTTCCTGTAATAATGATTGGTATAAGGATCAACCTGTGATCTAATCCTGGTCAATTGTAGTAAGAAAGAGTCTGCCAGAGGCTTCTGGGACAAATATTCGACTAATAAAAAGAGAGGTGAAATAAGAGAAACCTTTATTCCTTCCCTCCTGCTTTTAGACCTTTTGGATAGATAACGAAGTGATGTTTGATGGAAGCCATCCCATCACCACAAAGGGAAGGCCAAGAGAATCTCTCAGGAGCTGACCCAAGTCCTGTCATCATTGTGTTGCTGAGTCAACCTAAAACCAGGGATGAATTTAGCCAGACGTATGATGCAAAAGTAATCATCATTTATAGCTAGGGTTTGTTCTGACTAGTCAGGCATTGGTTCTGATTTGTCAACACTTGTGCCATGTTGGGTGATAAGTATTTTGAATACTTCTTGCTTGGAATCAATACCTCTGCATTTATTGTTACACAATGCAAATAAACGTCTATTGTTTACACCACTTTAATTGGATAATCAGTTACTTGCAGCCCAAAGCTTTCCTTTTTTAAATTTTCAGTCAGGTAAGGAAGATCATATTTAAAAGCTTTCTGGCTATGCAGTTAGGGATCATAAAACCCAGTCACATCTGAACTATGTAGGTGGGCACTTCCTTTGCACAGTTTAGAGGTCTGGCAGCCCTGTTAGGATCTGTCCTATTCCTTCCTCACCCCTCCCCCACCCCCAGCAATTGTTTTTCTCTGTTTATTTCATATATCAGGTGGCAATAATGTTTTTCTCTATTTTATATATCAGGTGATGGGGTAAAGGCAAATGATCCAATATCTGTGACCTGGAAAAGGAAGCTATTACAGCTCTATCAGTGTGCTGAATAGTTCTTCATGGAAGGGTTGAAACAGAAATTTATCCTCTTTGGCAGAAAGTAGGAGATTTAGCTAACTTCTACCTAATCTGTCCCTTTGCTCTTTTGCTATACCATTTGATTAGCCATAGTGATAGTGTCTCTTTTAGGAATGAGACTTGGATATCCATCAGTCAACCAGTCAACCAATCAATTTTGCTGATGCACACCATCGGTAACCAGAGGAAACTTCAAAGAAAGCATCTCTGGGCACACTCGCTGCTTCATATTGTAATTTTTCCCCCCTGTGTCCATCTTTCCTGTTGGATCAGGAGCAATTTAATGGCAAGAACCATATCTTTTTTTTTTTTCATATGTAGAGACAAGGTCTCACTTTGTTGCCCAGGCTGGGGTGCAGTGGCATATTCTAGCTCCCGGGCACAAGTGATCCTCCTGCCTCAGCCTCCCCAGTAGCCGGGACTACAGGTGTGAGCCACCATACCCAACTTTTCTTTATAAAAATTTGTTGTAGAGATGTGGTCTTGCTGTTTCCCAGGTTGGTCTTGAACTCCTGGCCTCAAGTGATCCTCCTACTTTGACCTTCCAAAGTGCTGGGATTACAGGTATGAGCCTCTGTGCCTGGCAAAAAACTATATCTTTAATCTCTGTATCCCTAGATCTGGTGCATACAGGGTGCTCAGTAGATGATTTGTTGAAAGAAAAAAAAAATGAATCGTATACACATTTATTTAAAAATGCATATTCTACAAAGACAGGATGATTTTTATGGCCACATAACAACCTGCTTTCCATGTGGCTACCTGAAAAACATTCTAATTAGGGACATAGGAATCTCTTATCCCTTTTAAAAACCAACACATTCAGAAATACAATCAAGGGGAATCAGCCCATCCTTCCACATGCTTTTTGTGGCACAGTTTGTGCCTAGAAAGCCTTTTTTAAATGGGAAAGATGATGTTTCCTAAAGCAACTCTCCTACTAAATGTGGTGACGAGAAGTGGAAATATCATTCTCAGGGTTAAAAAGGATTTTTCACGAATTCACTAAGTAGTGTGTTTGAACTAACTTTAAAAGCTGACTTAGAGAAACTAGATAAAATATATTTATATCTCTGCTAACCATCTTTCAACATGTCAGCTCATCTGAAGCCTCCCTGAGCTCCATGAGAGACAGCATGTAAGCTGGTCTTTAGATGGCCATCTGAAAACTCATCAAATAGCAAGGTATGAAAAACAAAATCACCTCCAAAACTTTCCAATTGCATTGATCTGTGGCATAAAGCCCTCGCCACAGGAAGAGAAATGATGGATTTGAGACTCGCAGGAGGATTCGTTTAAAGTGCTTTGTGTGGTGTGTGTGTTTTATTTTAATTTATGTATGGAATTGCCCGGGAGTGGTAATAGACTTTATTTGCTATATTTCGAGGAAGATAAAATTATCAGGACTGTCTATGTGTTTCAAAGCCAAGGAAAACAAAAACAGCTTTGAAGCTTCTCCTGGATTTTTTGTCCTAATCTTCTAAGAGATGGTCTTGATAATGTTTATTCTTTTCTTCTTTCTAACATAGTTGAAAGCACCATTTTTCTCAGTTAAAATAGCAATCTGATTTTTAATTAGGTCAGGTAAAATA